CTTCCGCTGTTCCCAGGTAGTGTAGAGCCGCTGGACGGCGACAACGAGGGCATATTTTTTCTCTCCCTCTGCCGCCCCGAGGCCCGCAACTCAATCGGCCGTCAGGTGAGCGCGGCTTGCCCAATAGCTGCTGGCTGTGCTACTGCTGCGTGCGCTGCTCTTCCCAGGTTTCGCCACGCCCAAACGACCTTTCCTGCCGCTGCAACCCTGTTGCAGTTTCTGCGTGAGCTGCGTGAATGCCTGCACACGGTGGCGCAGGAGCGAACAACCCGCTGTGTGGTTGTGCGCTCCACCGTGCCTGGGGTCTTCTGTGCCGGTGCCGATCTCAAGGTAAACGAGGCATCCCGTTGCACTGCCAGCACAGATAGGGAGCCGGTGCTTGAGCAAGCACCACCCATGCAACAATCCCCTGGTGCATGCAACAATCCCCTGGTGCTATTGCTGGCGGTGCTGCTACTCCATGCCCAGCCACAGCCGCTGCCCTTGTGCAGGAGCGTGCCGGGATGACCCAGGCAGAAGCCGCCACATTTGTGGGAGAGTTGCGGGAAGCCTTCGCCCACCTAGACAGCCTGCCCATGCCCACAGTGGCATGCGTGGATGGGTGGGTGCCGAGGCGATCCAGGCTGGAAGCTGTCGCAGTCGGCGTCAAGCTGGCTGCCTCCCTGCCCTGCGCCGCCTGGCGTGGCCTGTAGGTATGCGCTGGGAGGCGGCGCTGAGCTGGCGCTGGCGTGCGACATTCGTGTGTGCGGGCGGGACACGCAGTTTGCCTTCCCGGAAACGCGGCTGGGCATCATTCCTGGGTGGGCACGGGGGCTTATTGGTGATGTGGGCTTCAATTCATCCCTGTGGTTGACAGGCAGGAAGCTGGCCGCTGATGATAGCCCGCTGCTGAAGCCCTGCCTGCCTCCTTGCCCGGCATGCGGCGCCTGTGTGCAGGGCAGGCGGCACGCAGCGTCTGCCGCGCATTGTGGGCAAGTCGCGCGCCAAGGAGCTCATCTACACCGGGAGGCACGCTGCTGCAGCACAATTCATGCAGTGCAGCGCCTGCCCTTGCCCCATGCCGCGGGAGCTGCAGCCTGGAATCCCGTGGAGTGGCGCGCCCATCTGCCAACACAGCCGTGCTTGCTGTGCCTGCTCCCTCTTTCAGGCGCATTGATGTGCACCACGCGCTGCGGATAGGGCTGGCCGACCACGCCGCTGAGGAGAGCACCTCAGAAGATGTGGCGCTCAAGGTCGCCCGTGAAATTGCTCTGGTGAGTTCGCAGCACCTCGCTCCTGTGGGGCTGATGCTGGGCCAAGGCCGTAGGGCCCCTCCCATCCGCAGGCCTGCTGCTGGCCTTCTACATCCCACCAGCGCCACTGTCGTCTTGCCACCTGTCTGCTGAGGCTGGCAGTGCCTGCACCCCCTCTCTGCCTCCATGCGGCAGGGCGGCCCGCTTGCGCTGCGCATGGCCAAGCAGGCGGTGAACCTGGGGCTGGACATGGACCTACACAGCGGCATGAAGCTTGAGGAGGCATGCTATGCGCAGGTGTGAGCCGGCGGGGGAGGCTGGCTGATGTGTTCACTCAGGCCCAGCACGCGGAGGCACTACTGTGCCTGCCTGACCCCCCTGTCCTGCTGCCTGCCCGGTACCGCCCCCGTGCACCCCTGACTGAAGGTAATCCCCACCAAGGACCGGCTGGAGGGGCTGGCCGCGTTTGCAGAGAAGCGGCAGCCGAAGTTCACAGGGGAATGAGGCGTATTACCCCTGCTTCCGCAGCGCTGGCTTGCAGCAGTTTGCCTTGCATGTAGCAGAGCGAGTCGAGAAGGAAACACAGCAACAGCAGCACCGCTTTCAGGTCCTGCAGAGGGAGGTGGACAGTAGCAGGATTGATGCGTGTAGCTTGTTGGGCCGCCCACTCAGGTCTGGCGACGGCAGCACCGCGGCGATGCATTAGCCTTCCGTCAGGGAGACAAGGTGGTCCTTGGATGCTGAATTCAGCAAGTCAGTGAGCTTGGGCTGCGCGAGCCCGCTTGGCCAGCTGCTGCGGGCTGCGGGCTGGCGTTGCTCGCGGGCCGCTTAATTCCGCGCTGCCGGCGATCGGGCAGGGCGGCCAGCGCTACCCGCTCACTCACTCACTCTCCAGGCGTGTTGTATGTCACTGCCGGGGCTGTCGGGTTGTCGCCAGGCTTGCATTTGCAGTGATGCACAGCACAGCGTTGTGGGATGCAAAAGCTTGATGGGTCCCCTTCTGTACAGTCTTCACCCCCAGCTCCTTGTTTCAATTTTGCCGGTGGACGGCACTGTTTCGGCCGTGCTGTCACGACGACATGCCTGTGTGTGGCGCCTGCGTCCAAACCTCTGCTGGTCGCCACGCAAAGGGGGGCCAGTTCAGGGCGATCCAGTGCACTGATACAAGGGAGGGGTGAGCCGGAGTTATTTTAAACGTTTTGGGGTCGCCCCCGTTTGTTGGGGGGCGGGGGGCGGCGGCCTGTGCATGCGCCGCCGCCAGCCTGGCCCGCCCCCCCGAGTGTGTTTCCTCCTCGTATGCGTGTCTATCCAAGAAAAACGTAATAAGCCCCTTCGTTGCTTGTGGGACCTGTATAATTGTGGGTGAGGCGTGCTGCGTGCTGTGCAACCATTGGAGAGACGACGGTGGGTGGTAGTCTCTCGGGCCCCACTATTCCGGCCCGCTGACGCCTCTTTTGTGTTCGCATTCAAAAATACCGGTCTTTGAGGATTTCCCAAGCCCCCGCAGGCTCAGCCTGCAAGCTTGCACTTCCTTCTGCTGTGGGTCCAATTGCATTTCTGGCAACCGCCCCTCGACCCCAGCATCCATGCAACAATCGGGGCAGGGGCGGCCTGTGGAGGCGCGGTCCTTCAGGGCGGCACCTGCAGTGGCGGGGCGAGTGGCCAGGTGCGCCCGCAAATCCGCCGCCTTGTGCGTGTCCTCATTGCACGTGTCCTCATTGCAGTGCTTGCCTGCTGCCGGATCCTGCCGTGAATCCTCCCAGGGTGCTTCCCTGTCATGCGACTACAGGCCGCTGGAGATGGCAGGACCACGCTCCAAGCTGCCACATGCCGCGGGCCTGCTCGAGCCGCCCACGCTTTCGCTCTCACAGCCGCAGCTGAATCAAGCACTGGGCTTCAGTTCAACGCCGGATTTGCCCGTAGAGCTGAGGCAGCTGCCTCAGGCAGAACAGCTGCTGCAGCAACTGGACAGCAAGGCCGAGGAAATCTCCCACCAGCCACGCCGGCGCCAGAGTGCCGCCAAGCGGGAAGGAGCACCCACAGGGAATCGCACGCGGAAGCAGCGGCAGCCTGCAAGCAGCAAGCGCAAGGGGAAGGCGGCGGCAGCCTCGATGACGGCAGCAGGGACGGCAGCAGCCCAGGTTCTGCCGGTCTCTGCGCCCGAGGAAGCCACCGCAGCAGCAGGTCCCAAGCCGCATGTGGAGCAGGATGCACAGAGTCCGCCAGCTCCCACGCGCTCCAAGCACCGCAGCAGCAAGAAGAAGGCTGGGCTGCCTTCCAAGGATGCCGACATCCTGCGGTGAGACTGCAGGCGGGAACTTCATGGGGCCCAACAAGCAAACCTCACACTGGCTCGCTTGCCATGTGGGCTGGCTTAGTGCACCGTACACCTGCTTGGATCTGCTCCATCAGCGCAGGTGGTATTCCGAGGCAGTGCGGTCCGCCGAGCACGCCCACAAGTCCTCCCCTGGCAAGCACACTGCTGCCATGTTTGGACACGCCCTGCGCGAGCCGGTGCAGGTAGGCGCAGGCATCAGCACTCTGTGTCCGCAGAATGGGCACGCTTGGGCATGTGCACCGCATGCCCAGACTGCGTCCTGCTTTGCCCCTCACCGCTCTTGCTGTCGCACAGGAATGGCTGGATGCTCGTCTGGAGTACGTAGGCTTTGAGAGCCGGCCCTTCCCGCAGCTGCTGCCGCTTGACCTGCTGCTGGAGCTGGGTGTCAATGGGGAGGAGGCCAGCAGCGTCTGCACCAGTCATGTGTTTGCCCACTGGGCGAAGTCGTCCTCCAGCCTGCCGGTGCTGGCTAGCCAGTGGCACGACGTGGACAGGTCAGACGCTGCGCAGCTGCCTGACGGGCTGTGTCGTAAGGAGCCACAAGGCTTCCCAACTGCGGCCCCCAACCAGGTTTGCCCTGACCCCCACCGTTCGTCGTCCTGACATATGCTTGGTGCGCTGCTGATTCCTGCAGCTGGGACCTTGACAACCCCGGGCTGCTGCTGCACGAGAGCCATGCCGCACATGAGCGGCAGGGCACGGCAGAGGAGCACGCGCAGGCCATGATTGGTGGGGTAGCGGACCCGCCCCTGGTCCAGCAGCAGCCCTGGCATTTGCAAGGATGCGCCTCGGTGGCAAGGCCCTGAATGCAGATCAGCCAGCCAGCCACCACTTGTCTCACTTGCATCCTTTTGTGTGCGATGGCGTGCGCAGAACTGTATGGCGAGCTTTGTCGCGACATAGCGGGGCTGCCCGTGGTGGTGGGCCGCCGGCCGGCCAGCGGCACCCTGAGCGGCGCTGCTGCCAGCTACACGGTGGAGGCGATGGTTGGGGCCGGCCGCGCGCTGCAGGTAGGCAGAAGCGCGCCCCTGTGTAAATGGGCATGCGTGGATGCGTGCATCGGTGGTTGGTGGCCAGCTGACCATCCACACGTGACGAGCCGGATGGTGCGCTGATGCAAGCGTGTGCCGTCGCGGGATTGTCCTGGTCTGCAGGTTGCTCAGAGCCACCACTTGGCAGACAACTACTCTCGGGCGCTGGGCGCCTCCTACAGCACCAGTGCCGAGCAGCAGGAGTGGGGAGGGGAGTTCATGAGCCAGATGGGCAGCGGGCTGCGGGCGTCGCTGCTGGGTGGGGTGACGCTGGCGCACGGCGACGACGCGGGGCTGGCGCTGCCGCCCACCCTCGCGCCGGTGCAGGTGGGTAGAAGTGCGGCTCTCTGATGATACAAGCGTACTGCTAGGGAGAATTCAGCAGCAGTAGTGCATGCTCATCTCCCACCTCTCGCCGGGCAAGCTAACTTGCTCTCTCTGTTTACCTTCCCATGGGCAGGTGGTCATTACACCCGTCCTCACCCGCAGCTGCAACAGGCAGGGGCTGGCAGACGAGGCTGAGCGTGTGCGGGCTGCGCTGGCGGCAGCTGGCGTGCGCGTGGCCGTGGACAACCGGCGGCTCAAGCCGGCCGTGCGCTTCCGCGCCTCGGAGCAGCTGGGTGCCCCGCTGCGCATCGAGGTGTGCCCCGCGATGGGACACGCCTCACGAGCACCGAGGTCCTGCACGCATGCCAGTCGACCGCCGCCGACCAGCAGCAATTTCCCACCGTTGTGGAGATGCTGCTGTTTGTTCGCTCCCACCCATCTCCCTCCTCCCTGCCCCGCAGATCGGCCCACAAGACATCAAGGCCCGCTCATGCGTAGTTGCGCGCCGCACCATCCCCGGCCGCGCAGGCAAGCTGCGCGGCGTCAGCACGGAGCCGCAGGCGCTCGTGGAGAGCGTGCTGGAGCTGCTGGGCGACGCACAGACCGACATGTGTGCAGGGGCTGCTGCGGCGCTGCAGACCAGCATTGTTGATGTCACATCCTTCATGGAGCTGCGGGTGGGTTCTTCGGATGTGCTGTTGTGGCGCTGCTGCCTGTTATGCTGCTTGGTGGGGGTGGGGGTGGTGGTGGTGGGGGGGGGTGGGGGGGGGGGTGGGGGGGCTGCGCGACTGCATGCAGCTTGTCAACCCTTGCCCTGCTCAAGTTTGGTCTGTTGCCCACTCCCACGCCGCAGGACGTTGTGCAGGATGGCATGTGGGCGCGCGGTCCCTGGGCCGGCAGCCTTGAGGACGAGGCAGCTGTGTATCAGGAGACGGGCGCCACGCTGCGCTGCATCCCTCTGCAGCAGCCTGTCAGCATCTGGTCTGGTTACTCAACCTGCCTTTACTCGGGCTACCAGGCCGCAGAGGTGGCCCTCTTTGCTCGTGCGCTGTGAGGCCTGCGCAAAGACAGCTGGCGCCAGCCGTATGTTGAGGCGTCGACCCGTTGCGTACCTCACTGCCTGGTCATGAACCTGCCCGTCAGAGAACAGAGAAACGAACACTGGCTCATGTATCCTCAATTCTCAATCAAAGCTACCAAGCACTTGAAATTGAACCTGTTTTTGTTCTGCTCAGCCCAGAATCGTTTTTCATGTCGTTGCTGTCTTCCCTTTCATTTGCCAGCCTACTATTACAGTTGTTTCTATTCATTGATGCCAATACTAGCGCATACTAGTAATAAGAAGCGCTAGAGTCAGGCAAGTCCTGTGGGGCGGTGACCTCTGTCAGACACACAACACCCTGCAATTGTACACATTTACCTGTTCCCCTTCAGTGAACCCAGAGTGGAGATGCCACTGGATCAGCTAGTCGGTGTTGACACGGCTAATGGCGGCACCTGCTGGGCGCGCTGGGCACCGCCTTTGGGCAATCTCACTCCAAGGCCTCGGTTCTTCTTGTTCTTGCATCGGCGGCGTCGGCAGCCCTTTCCCTGTGCGTAGCACGTCATTGCCGCAATGCCCGGCAGTGATTTTCTGCAAAGTCCGCCGCACCTGGGCAACCAGTGGCTCGAGGATGGCTTCTTGCAATCTCAATTGCGCCGCTTGATGCCAGACAAGCTGCGAAACGTAGAGCCAGACTTGGGTGAGGCGGCGACGGCGGCACAGGGTGGCGCCGCAGATACCAGACGTGTCAAGCATCGACCTGTAGCTGTATGCCCTGCAGAGCGCTTCGGCTGGCAAGTGGCCACCCGCATTAAGATCCTGGGTCAGGCAGCAGAGGTGAGCCTGCCGCATGCATGCGTCTTGCGGTGCTCTTGGCTGCCCGCCTGTTCATAGCCTCAGGTCCACCCATGTATATGCAGGCTCAACCGCCGCGGCTGCTGAAGCAGGATGCATGGGGTAGCCAACTGGATTCCGTATTGACCGCGGATGCCTGGAAGCAGCTCAAGGCGCTGTCAGGTGGTGCACACTGCGGCATCGGGTCGAGCTGCTCGTTCCTCACAGTGCTTCCCGAACTGCATTGTTGTGGTGGCATACTTTTGGCTGACCAACGTGGCTGCAGCGGAGGAGGGCCTGGTGGCGGCGGCATATGAGCAGCAGCAGGGACCACACAGCAGGGTTGTATCAGATGGCCAAGTTGCACCTGTTTGGCGCATCATCAGGTGAAGGAGCAGGGAGCAGGGGTGAGGAGCTGCCTCGGACCGTCCAGCCAGGCTTGGGCATGCCGTAAGCAGCGTCCTCCTCCTACATCCCCGCCGGCGTGCAGGCTTGTTCAACTGCCCGCTGGCAATGACAGATGGCGCCGCTCGCCTGTGCCAGCTGCTCCTTGATGGTGTAGGCGCAGATGGCGGGGACAAGAGCGACCTGGCGGGGGAGCTTCGGGACGCGTTTGGCCACCTGACCAGTCGTGACCCGGCCGCCTTCTGGACCTCTGGCCAGGTATAAGGAAGCACATTCGCATCATTGCCCGCAGGCCAGTTGCTAGCGCCGACTGCCTTGTGGCCCTTCTGTAGGGGTGCCGTGCTCACATTCCCTAGTAGCCATTGCTTCCGGCCTTCTGCTGCAGTGGATGACGGGGGGATCCGACGTCAGTGTCGCCACAGAGACGGAGACTCTGCCAGACTTCAACAACAACAGCAGCGGCGGGGTGGGAACCTGGTTCAGGTCTGGCGCCAGATGATGGTACTGCTTGCCGCTTGCTGGCCTGCCCTGACGTCACGAAGCGGATGGCCACTTGCCCGCAGGCTGTTTGGTTATAAATGGTTTACTAGTGCTGCGGATGGGGAGATGAGCATGGCGCTCGCCCGGGAGCAGGAGCAGCCAGGCAGCAGCAGCCCAGCTGGTCTGACGCTGTTTTACGTGCCAGTGCGGAGGGATGAGCAGGGCAGGCCAGAGGCAAGCGTCACAAATTCAGGGAGAGGCACCTCGGTGGCTGGGCTTGCTGTCGGACCGTCACGGCAGCCCATCTGCCACTGCTGCATGTGCCACTCATCACTGCCTGCTCATTATCCCACCCGCATGCATGTAGGGTTTTGAAGTGGTACGGCTCAAGGACAAGCTGGGCACGCGGCAGCTGCCCACCGCCGAGCTGCGCCTGCATGGCATGCGTGCGCTCAAGGCAGGCAGCCGGCGGCTGCGACGCACTTGCCACGGCTGTACATGTGCCCGCCGTTGCTCTCACTGCTTGCCTGTGATGCCGTGCAGGTGTCCGAGCGCGGGCGCGGGGTGGCGGCCATAGCCATAATGGTGAACATCACTCGCCTGCACAACGCAGCTGCCGCCTGTTCATAAATGCGCCGTATCACGGCACTGGCCCAGGTACTGCCAACCACAAGCTTGTCGTGGGTCGGCATCGCGCTGAGATGTCAAGCACGCCTGCAAGCAGATGGCAGCCGCTTGACCCATGCTGCCAGCTAATGACCCCTCCTTGCCCTCTTAACGGAGGGTGCAGGATTACGCTCGCCGCCGCCTGGCCTTTGGGAGGATGCTGCTGCAGCAGCCGCTGGCGCTTTACACACTGGCCTGGTTGGAGCTGCGGTGCTGCGGGAGCCTTGCGCTGATGCTGGAGGTTGCACGTCTGCTGGGTGCGCTTGCCATGACACATGCGCCCTACAGGGACCCAGTTCTCAAGGGCACATCCTTCTTCTCACTGCAGGAAGTAACTATTTCCGGCATACTGGCGATCGTCCCTGTTATTGCTGCAGGGCTGCAAGAGGCAGGGCAGGCGTCTGCTGCGGATGTCGTCATGCTCCGCCTGCTGACTCCGCTGGCCAAGCTTTTCACGGCAGAGGAGGCGGTGGTGGTGTGCTCAGAAGGTTAGTATCCCGCTGCTAGCTGCAATGTGCTGGGTTGCTCGTGATTCTTCACTCGTTGCTTCTGCTTGCAGGTCTCGAGTTCTTTGGAGGCAATGGGTGAGACCTGAGGCAGGCTTGCTTGTTTGGTAGTTTGCACCGACAATTTGTGCTAACGTCCTCTATCACGTGTGTGCTGCAGGTATTGCGAGGATAGCCACATCCCCGTCATCTTACGAGATGCACAGGTGCACACGCCTGGCAGCTTCTGCCTGGAGAGAGCACAGGTTTTGAGACCAAGCTGCCCACACTGCACTTCTCCGACTGCTGCTGCAGGTCCTGCCTATCTGGGAGGGAACCACCAATGTGCTCAGCCTGGATTTTCTGCGGGTGCTGGCCAGTGGCAGCAATAGCAGCAGCAGGCCAGCCGCGGTGTTCTGCTCCGAATGCCGGCAGCGCATGGATGCCGCCATGTCGGCAGTAGCTGCCGGCGCAGCCAGGCGCCTGCCTGGGGAGAGCAGGTTGGGACCTGCTGTGCAAGCTGAGCTGCTGCGCAGGGCGACCTCCCTGCTGGGTCACAAACTAGAGCTGCTGCAGCCGCAGGTGGGTACGGACACGATTGCCACGGCTGTGGTGCGAGAGACATGCACTGGCACACAGGGTGCCTCATTTCTGCTTCGGCCATGATGCTTTCTCGCCTGCAGGCAGAGGCAGTGGCGAGTGCAGGCGTCAGCAGCGATGTCGCCCAGTTTGTGGCGCGTGATTTGGCGCTTGACATGAGCAGGCTGTTTGTGGGAGGTGGGGCTGCTGCCAGGCGAGCCCTGTTGTTGCACACTTTACCGCGCTTGCCGGTTGCGTCGAGGGGTATCTTCTGGTTGCTGCTTGCCACCACCTTTCAGTGTTGCTGCTGGAGCATGCTGCCTGGAACCTGGAGCACCGACACGTCCTGCTGGCCACCGAGTGGTGCCGCCAGGCAAGCCGTGCTGCCCGGAAAAGCTTACTTCACAGCATCATGCTGTGTTGTTGGTGGCTCCTTGCACGTGGAGTGACTCCCGGGGGCAGCAGTACCATCACACACACATGCGGTGTTCAATTCTGCAGGTGCTCCTGTGCCAGCCGGGCGTCTAGCCTGCAGCCTCGGCTGCCTTCCTGATGGGCGACGAGCAGCTGTATCCACCAGGCACAGGTGGTGCGGCAGCCGCTCTGCAGGCGACGGAGGCCCAGCTCAAGACAGCTTGGGTGCTCGCTGGCGCTGGTTCTAGCCTGCTGCAGCCCAGGGCCAAGTATTAGCCACTCCAGGAATGTGTTTAAGCCACTGTTTCACCGTATGCCAGCCTGCGGAGCGGGGTTGGTCAGTTCAAGCGCAGCAGTTCACAGCGCGCAGCACTCACATGTTCCAAAGCCGCCCTCGCTCCCTCTCCAATTCTACTTCACCTTCATTCTGTGCTTCGTTCGCAGCTGCAGATATAGAAGTTGGCTGCGGTGCCTTTGCAGAACATCGGCAGCAGCGCACGTTCAGGGAGTGGTTTGCGTTGAGCGGGGAGCAGAGGCAGCAGCTCCAGTATGAGCTACCTGCTCCCCCACCTGCACAGCGGCTTTGCCGTGGACCAGGCCATCCTGTCGGTGCGCGGTGCTGCCGGCCTGCTGACCAAACGTCATGCGTGGATTGCAGAGATGGTGCTGAACGGCCTGCAGCCGGCTCCATCGTCCCGACTGCACCTTGTAGCGCTGCAGGAGGAGGACCGGGTGGTCATCATCCGCTTTGGGCACGACTACGACGACACATGCATGCAGATGGACGAGGTGTGCTGGCACCGCGCTTGTCTTAAGTTGCGCCGGCGGCGCCCGTTTGGCGGCGCCCGTTCCAGCCTCGGCCCACCTCGCGCTGTGAAGCGTGCTGCTTGCTTGGCCTGTCAAGGCTGCCGCTGCACACAGCTTTGCCTGCACCCTGGCGTTGAAATGGCCGCTCGCTCCCGCTCGTCGCTGCCGGCCCGCCGCTGTGCCCCAGCCCCCCCCCCCTGGCCCCCTCGCCACCCCTTGGCCGCCCGCCCATGCACGGCCTTGTTGAACCCCTGCCATGCGCCCCCTGCTTGCCTGCCACCCCGCCCTGCCCCACCCCGCAGATTCTGGCGGGCACCGTGGAGCGCATGAAGAACTTTGCGGTCATCTACCTGGTGGACATCAGCGAGGTGCCGGACTTCAACGCCATGTACGAGCTGTACGACCCCTGCACAGTCATGTTCTTCTTCAGAAACAAGGTGGGCTGGTCCTGAGGAACACGGCGCGGCTGCATGGGCGCATTTGTGGGGCGCGGCCAGGCGGGAGCCTCTGCCTCGGGCTGTCTCGTGCGGTCTGGCGCAGCTTGGGGCCAGCGTTGGCATGTGCTGCGTTTGTTGCCGGCCTGGCCTGCCCGCCGACCCGCTTCTTGCTGCCCGCAAAGGTAATTACCCTGCCAGACGCTCCCATGTCTCAAGGGCAGTCCCTTTGCAATATGAATCCCCCCGTGTCACTGTTGGCACCAGCGGGCCTGCGGCCACCGGCTGCTCCCCGCCCCTGGCGCTGTTTGTACGCGAGGACAACTCCCCTCATTCCCTCTCTTCCCGCCCCGCTGCCAGACTGCCTGTGCCCTGGCCCCCGTCCTGCTGCTCCCTTGCTGCTGCGCCGTGCTGTGCTGGCTGACTCCCATTTCCTGCATCTGCTACCTGGTGGCGCAGCACATCATGATTGATCTGGGCACGGGCAACAACAACAAGATCAACTGGGCAATGAATGACAAGCAGGAGTTTGTAGACATTGTGGAGACGGTGAGCCTGTGCTTTGGTCCTGCAATAGCATGCAACTGCCGCAGGGCTGCTGCTTCACTGTGTTTGTCGAAGGAAGGGCCTGCCGTTCCAGGCCACTGCCCGTGCTCAAAGCGGCCGCCGCCTGCCCGCCACTGCCGCAGGTGTTCCGTGGGGCGCGCAAGGGCCGTGGTCTGGTTGTTTCTCCCAAGGACTATTCAACGAAATACAGATACTGATTAAACTGATGGTTTTGTTGGCCCGGGGTGCCCGGTGACGGTTAAAAAGTGTTTGACGTTTTTCTGTTTTTGGATAATTGTCGGAATTTTTGTAACTTGTCTCAGAATCATGTCATTGTTCAAGTAAAGTTGATTGTGAGGGCCCGAACACACGGCGCCTGGTGGCGGCGGTGGGGGGGTGATGAGGTGGCGCTACCTTTGCCAAACAGTCGCTCTCGCACTCCTTCGCATTCATCCAGTGTCATCTGAGGCGCAGGAGGGCCTTCAGCTCGTTTGCTTCATGGAGGCCACATGTGGACATGGGCGGCATCCCTGCACACGACAGCCTGCGTGCCTGCATGCTGTACCGCCTGCAGCCACTTGGTGCGCAGCAGTCTGCTGCTGTCTTGTACCTACTGCTCTGCTCGTTGTCGTTCTGCCTGCACATAGCAGCCTGCTGATCGGCTGCTCAAACCCTTGCCTGCTCCTGCCCCTTGCCCCCCCCCCGAGCAGGTGTCGGCGCTGCCGCCGCTGCCCCGCGACACGCCCCGCCCCCCTACCCCTCCCTCTTCCAGAACCCCAACCAGGCCAGCAGCGTGCTGCCGCTGGTTGCCGAGGTGCGGTGTGGTGCTACTGGACGACGCAGGGCAGCAGATGGCGCCAGGTCTGTTGCCACTCTCCTAGCACTCCGTCTGGGTTGCTGTTTCCGCCGGTTACACAACCTTTCTAGCCTCATAGAGTAATGGAAATGGCATGATGTGGGCCCAGTCAAACAGCTGTATGCCACGGGCTGCCGCTGGGGTGCTGCCTAACAGGTGGGGCTGGCTGCTTGAGTGCACAACAAAGTGATTCATTGCGGTCTTTTTGCTGAAGAAAGGAGACAGTGTGTGTAGCTGCCCATGGGTGGGAGGGTCAGTCAAGGAGTCAAAGGGAAAGATCGGCGGGGCATATCAAGCCCGGTCATTGGCCAGAGCCGCGCCAGCCACCCGCGCGATCGGTCACATAGCGTACAAACTGGGCTAGGGGCACAGCTCTTGCAGCTGCGCCAAACTGCCACGCGTTTAACCTGCAAAAAGGGAAAGTGGAACGGCGCTGAGTTTGGCACCCTGCCCAAAAAACAATACTTGAAACTCCCAGAAGGTAAGAAGGGCCAAATTGTTGAGCCCCAACGCACCAGAAGTGAACTTGGTCACCGCCTTGGTGCCCTCAGAAACCGCGTGCTTGCTGAGCTCGCCTGCATACACAGATGGTGGTGGGGAAGGGAGGCAGAGAGACGGGATGAGCATGCTGTGTGGGCCAGCCTCAAGGCGGGGCAACCGATGCGGCGGAGGCGCACACTCAATGCAGCGCTGGGCAACCAGCCAAACAACTCAGCCATCCACGCTCTTCCGTTCAGAGCTGGAACCTCTGATAGCAGGTTACTCTCTACAACAGCGTTGCTGAGCTGCCGGCAGCACAGGCGAGCACGACGCACCGGGCAGGATCAGGCGCACGGCGGTCTGGATCTCGCGGGAGGTGACGGTGGGCTTCTTGTTGTAGCGCGCCAGGTTGCCGGTTTCCACCGCGATCTTGTCAAAGATATCCTGCAGGGGCGGGAGTCAGGGCAGTGGGGCGATGAGCAGGATGGACTGATGGGTGGCCAGGTCGCTGCCTGCCCGTGCAGGGCTCTGCCCGTTTGTGCTTTGCACCCGCCACACCAGCCGCGCTGGGAGCTGCCCACGGGCAGCGCCACGCTGTCTGGCTGCTTTCCTCGTGCTCCCCTCTACTGCTGGCAGCTCTGGGAAAGGGAGGTCGGGTGAATGGAGAGGGCCAGGGGCCTGCCTGGCCTGCTGGCTGGCCCAGCTGCCAGGGCGCTGTGGGGCGGACTCACGTTGATGAAGGAGTTCATGATGGACATGGCCTTGGAGCTGATACCCGTGTCAGGGTGCACCTGCTTCAGCACCTTGTAGATGTAGATCTTGTAGGTCTCGGCCTGCGGGTGGGGGCAGGCCAGGGTAGTGTGGTGGGCACCGTGCACTGGCGCCGCTCGGCGTTGCCTCGCCGGCTGCCCAGGCTGCACTCTCGCACCGGCCGCGCCGTTCTGGCCCTCCCACCAGCCGCCTTCGCGCCCCGCTGCGCCGGCAAACGGCAACGCCGCGCATCGAGCTGTTGTTACGCTGGACACAAACGCACCTTGGAGATCTGCTTGCGAGCGGCGCGGCTGCGCTTCTCGGCCACCTGCACGGACAGGGGGAGGTGGTTGGCGTGGGGAGCAGCGCGCAGGGGTGCGCAGGGCGGGCACCAGAGAGGCCGGGCCGGCTGTCGCCACCACCGCCGCTCCCAGCCCTCGCCGCTACCTTCTTGGCCGTCCTGCAGGGGCAGCCAGCAGCGTGGCAGGGTGAGCAAGGCGGGTGGCGGGCGCCGGCGTTCAAAACACGCCGAGCAACGATCACACCCCACTCACTTCTTGGCGGGAGCCTTCTCAGCCTTGGGAGCCATGGTGGGGTGCTGGGGGCGGGATCAGGCCGGGAAACAGCGGCAGAAAGGGTGTGGAGGCGGCGGGAGGGGAGACCTTGGCCAAACCTGGCCGCAGCAGGCGAGCCACGGAGTAAATGCTGGCCCGAACCGGCCTCCCCCGCGTCCCTCATGTGCCACAATCAGCGCTTGTGTTGGTCGCATGACGACCGGGGCCCGCCAGAGGCGAGCAGGCCCCTCTTCACGCAGGGCACCGCCGCCAGCGGCGGTAGAAACTGTGTGCAACCACAAGCCCGGCTGCAGGGTCGAATGAGGCAGCTGTGGAGCCCAGAAATCATGCGGGCAGCCCGCCCTTTGTGCCCGCTGGGGGTCAGCCGGGGGTCAGCTCCTGACAGGCCAAGCCAGGCACCAGCGGCACCGCCAGGCACAGTGCGCGGTCAAAGAACCGGGGTGCCCTCTCCTACTCAGCCACCAAGTGCCAGTCCTCCCACTTCCCTGCCTGTGGTGCCTCCGCCGGGCAGATGTTGCAGCCAATCTTGAGGGTACAGAGGGGTTGGGGTGGGTGGGTGGGTGGGGAAGCAGCGCAATAGCGGGCACACGCATACAGCACACTAGGAACCAACAAACAGTGTGTGTGTGGAACAAAGGGGCACAGCAAGGGATACAAAAAGAAGAGGGGGACATAGCCTGGGGTCGCAGAAGCTGGCGGAATGGCAGGGCGGGGCGGGGCACAGCGGGGCGGGGCACAGCGGGGCAGGGCACAGCGGCGTCTGGCCTGGCCGCAAACGCGTCCCAACCTCCAACCGGACCCAGCCGTGCACAGCGTGGCAGCGAGACATCACTGCCGCCCATCGCTGCCACGGCCGCACCGCGCCGGGCAGGCCGGCGCCAGCTCAGCGCCCACCGCATCACCGGTACTCCTCCTCCAGCGCCCGGAAGCGGTCGCGGATCTCCTCGTTGAGCGCCTTGAACTTGGCCTTCAGCGCCTCCTCGCCCTCCGCCGGGTCCTCAAACTTCTGGGAGCTGCAGTGGCATTAGAGTGACGAGGGCAGGAAATCGAGAGGCGGCCGTGAGAGGGGGCAGCAGGAAACGGCAGTCCAGCCCGGTATCAAGTGGCTGATGCCAAGCTGGGAGAGCGGCAACCACCACCGCAGCGGCAGGCCTGCGGCTGGCGTCCAGCAGGTGCCCCACCCAGCCACCACCGCACACCCGCCCCAGGCCCACCTGAGCTTGTACAGCAGGTCGCCCAGGCGCGCCTTGATGACGTTGTACGTGATCTTGCCGCCGCTGCCGTCGGCCGCGCTGGCGGCGGCCGCGGTGCGCTCCACCGCGTCGTTGGCGGCGTTGTAGAAGGTGATCATGTTGCGCAGCATGTCGCAGGACTTGTAGAAGGGGCAGTACTTGTCGTACCTGCAGGCACAAGGGTTCCAGTGCGCAGGGCCAGGGCGTGGGGGTCAGGCAGCAGGGGGTGGCCGAGAGGCGGCGGCGGCCCAGAGGCGAAACACAGGCTGCATGCTGTGCCCCGTGCCCCCAGTCAGTCATGCCCCAGCACCCTCCACCGCCCACAGCCCCGCCTCAACTCACTTGCTGTACGAGTTCTGCTGCAGGAAGTCGTCTTTGATGAGGCGGGCCACCTCCAGCGTGATCTTGTCGCCCTCAGCCAGCGCATCCTGCGGGGCAGCCGAGGCACAGGGAAAGGCGACAGGTGAGTAGCAGGCGGTCAGTTTCAGGGGACCCGGTTTGCAGGCGTGCAGGCACAGGCGCAGGCGCGCGCTAGTGCCAGGGCGCCAGTGGCGCCCAGGGCGCAAGTGGCGCGCTCTGCTGGCTGCCCACCATGCAGGCAAGACAGCTGCCGCCACCCCACCTTGCCCACGAGCTGCACAATCTCGTTGAGGTCGTCCTCCTTCTGCAAGATCTCGCGGGTGGCCTTGCGGGAGTTGACAAACTCGGGGTCAAAGGAATCGTAGAAGGGCTCCAGCGCTTTGATGTACCTGCAGCACACGCAGCACAAGCAACCGTGGTGAGACACACGCCGCGGTGCAGGGCACTGGCACTTATGCCAGATGGGGCGGCAGCGGCACCTAGGGGCAGCTTGTTTGCTGGCCACGGCAGCGGCAGCGGCTATCCAGCGCACTTGGAGTAGGAGATGAGCCAGTTGACGGAGGGGAAGTGCTTGCGCTGCGCCAGCTTCTTGTCCAGGCCCCAGAACACCTGCCAGGAGGAAGAGCACACGGGGCAGGAGGCGGGGAGGTGGGAGGTCAGCTGGCCCACTAACTGCCTCTGGCGGCAGCGCCAGGTGTGGCCCGATGGCGGCAGAGGTTTGCTGTGAAGGCAACCGGCAGGATACAGCAGCAGCGCAGGTGCAGAAAGGCCTGAAACACAGCCCGCAGCGGGCGGCCTGCAAGTACCTGCACGATGGACAGGGTGGCGGTGGTGACAGGGTCCGAGAAGTCGCCGCCAGGTGGAGACACGGCTCCCACGATGGTCACGCTGCCCTCGCGGTTGGGCGAGCCCAGGCAAGACACGCGGCCGGCGCGCTCGTAGAAGGACGCCAGGCTGCGGGCAGGCACAGGACAGAGAGCAGGGTGGAGGTGGAGGCATGGTCGGCGCATGAGAAGGCAGGCGGCATCAGCACGGCAGGCGCATCAGCCAAGGCATCAGCCCATGGTAGTCTGCTGCTGCGGCTGCTGGTATTGACAGTTTGTGCAGCCCACAAGCCCTGGCAGAGCACCACGGCAGAAGCTCAGAAGCCCGCAAGTCCCATATCCCGCCATGCGCGCACACACACACACAGGCACACACTGGCGCTGCACCCACCGTGCGCCCAGGTAGGCGGGGTAGCCCGAGTCTGCGGGCATCTCCGCCAGGCGGCCCGAAATCTCGCGCAGCGCCTCGGCCCAGCGGGAGGTGGAGTCGGCCATCATGGAGAAGTTGTAGCCCATGTCACGGAAGTACTCTGCAGTACAGCAGTACAGGGAGGTTACAGCAGTACAAGGTGTTCCAGGCGTGTCGGCAGGGCAAGCAGCAGCATGGCAGGAAACCAACGGGGCGATCCCAAATCAAGCTGCTCCCTGGCCTGCCATGGACTTGCCATCCTGCTGCCTGCCGCACCACCTGTTGGCCGCCACACGCCCACCACAAACCTGCTAGCGTGATGCCTGTGTAGATGGATGCCTCGCGTGCCGCCACGGGCATGTTGGAAGTGTTGGCGACCAGCGTGGTGCGCTTCATGATGCTCTCCTCACGCCCGTCGGGCAGCGTCATGGTCAGCTGCAGAACCAGGGCGGCGCAAAGGGGAAGGGCTGCGACACTGTCAAGATGCAGCCATGACCCATACAGCTAGCGGCATGAGGCTGCTGCACAGGCATCCAACAGCACTCCGGCTTGCTTGCCTGTGGGAAGTCCATCAGCACTTCCGCCATCTCGTTGCCGCGCTCGCCGCAGCCCACATAAATGATGCCGTCGCTATTACTGTACTTGGACAGCGCCTGTAAGGCAGGGCAGGCAGGCCGCAGGTGGGCGGGGGGGTGAGAGCCAGATAGCAAGGTCAGGAGCATGCGCACCAGGCAGAGCCTAGCGCAGCTACGGCAGAGCAGGGCGCGCGACAGCCAGCCAGCCAGCCAGCCACCGCACCCGCGCCCAGGCACGACCCGCACCTGTGAAATGACAGTCTTGCCGCAGCCAAAGGCGCCGGGAATGGAGCAGGTACCTCCCAGCACGCCGGGGAAGAGCCCATCCAGCACGCGCTGCCCCGTCAGCAGCGGCGTGTTGGCCAGCATCTTCTGCGCCACAGGCCGCGGCGCGCGCACAGGCCACAGCTGCAGCATGCTATACTCCTGCAAGCAGAGAAGGGGGGGGGGGGGGCCAGGGTATGGGGGCAGGTGGGATGGAAGGGTGACCGATGAGGGGGCAGGGCACCAGAGGTTGCTGGCTGTCACGGCGACCACAGCAAACCAAAATTAAACCGCACCTTCTTCGTTCCGCCAAACTCAACCTCAATGACCTTGTCAGTGATGGTGTAGGAGCCTGCAGGTGATAGGGAGGCCACCACTCAGGCTGCACACGATGAGCACTGGCATGCAAGCTGCGCCCCCCTCCGACGGTTTGGCAGCACAAGCTGCCAGCTTCAAGGCACGCCTGCAGGCAAGGCCGCCCCTCGTGGTGCTCGCATCCCCCCAACTTGGCCGCCGCCGCTGCGGCACCCACCGGGGGGCGCGATGTACGAGATGTTGCCGCGCGCGTTGGCGGGCAGCATGATCTTGTGATCCATCAGCGAGTTCTCGTGCACCACGCCGTAGATGTCGCCGCCGGTGATGCGGTCGCCCACCTGCGGGGGAGCGGGCAGGGCGAGGGGCGCAGATGAGCGCGGCGGGCGAGGAGCAGGGGCGCAGGAGGAAGGGGCACGGGCCTGGGGAGCGTTGCAAGAGGCAAAACCGGGTGGAGCCACAACCTGCCACAGCTCGCCTCCAGCAGCACGGCTTTGCCATGGCCCCCAGAAACCCTGTGTGAGCCCACCTTGAACTTTGTGGGCTCAAACTCCCACTGTAGGCTGCGGTCCAGGGCGGGCACGTCCACGCCGCGTGGGATGAAGCAGGAGGCGGAGTCCGCGGCAATCTGCTTGAGCGGGCGCTGGATGCCGTCAAAGATGTTGCCCATGATGCCGGGGCCCAGCTCCACAGACAGCGGCTGCAGGCGGGCGGTCAGGGCAAGGCAGGCGGCGCGCGCCGTGAACGGGCGCGGGCAAAGAGCAAAAGGGCAGCAGCAGACAAACAGCTCTCAATGCCCTGCTCTCAAACTGCAGCTGCCGCCAAGGGCAAGCACAGGCGCGCAGAGGCCCACCTTGCCGCTGCGGATGACAATGTCGCCGACAGTCAGGCCGGATGTGTCCTCATACACCTGCAGGCAGCCGCCAGCTAGGGGTCTGCCACTGCACCGCTGCCTGTGGTGCAGCACGGCAGCGCACCGCTCCATGCCAGCCGCAGTTCACAAGCCCCTGCTCCCAGCCGCACGTAGCGCACCTGGATGGTGGCTGTGTCTGCCTCCAGCCGAATGATTTCGCCGATCAGCTTCTCGGCGCCCACGCGGACCAGCTCATACATGGCGCTGCCGCCCATGCGGCTGGCCACCACGACGGGGCCCGACACCTTTTTGATGTAGCTGCAGGGCAGGCAGGCAGGCGCGGGGGGTGGCAGCACGGTGGGGCTCAGCACAGACAGAGCCACAGGCCTCGAGTGGCAGCAGGCCGACGACCTGCGCCGACCCGCCAGGGCTTTGCCGCCCGCCTGCACTCCTGCTCTGCAGCCCGCTAGCTGGCCACCCAGCTCCAGTACCCCGACCCACGACCTCCATGCCGAGCCGTTCTCCGCCAGGCGGCCGCCGGTGCCCACGGCCAGAGCCTGGGTGGTAGGGCGATCGGGGTGGGCACTCACCCATACTGGCTTTCTGGGGTCTCGACGTCCCGACCCATCCCCGCCTCGCTAGACGGTCCTGATCTGAGTGAACAAGCGGCCCACTGGTTGCCGGGAGAGGGTTTCACCACCGGCGCGGGGCTGATCGAGGGGTTGGCGGCCTCCGGGCACGCTGGATCTTTAAGCAGTCGGGCGGCAAACTCCCCTGGGCGTGGGTTGCGGGTCTTGGTTCTCCAGGGCGGCAAAGCCCCACAGCACGCCACAGCACGTTCTCGCGCTGACCACGGCAATTGGAGCCACTACGTCTCGCAATTGCTTTCATCAAATCAAGAAGCCAGCGTGCCAGCCTGCTCTGCGTAACCTGCCCCCAGCGGGTCCCACCTCCGAGAGGCGCAAAGCGGGCCAGGCGCAGCCAGAGCGCTCTGAAAGCGCCAAAACAGCTTGTGATTTTACTGCCAGGGCCTCACCCCGCCCATAACTGTTCAACAGCCATGCCGCCCGCCACGGCGCCGGCGGCGGCGGCAGCGCCGCCCCGCCCTGCCGACAATGCGCAGTTCCTGCGCAAGCAGCGCGCAGCAATCGAGGTCATTGCCGCCGACAACCTGAAGCTCAAGGAGGAGTTCATGCTGGAGAACAAGTTCAGCGTCAACCCCACCACGCAGACTGCGGCAGCGCTCATCGCCAACCTCCAAGAGCAGGCCGATGTGTATGTGGTCAAGGTGGGGCAGCCGGGAAAGGGCGGGGCGGGAAAGGCAGCACGTACTGTGGTGGGAAAAGGGCAGGCGGGCATTGTTTCACTGCCGCGGTCGCTCTGCTGTCACTTGCCCCATCACCGCTGCTGCCGCCCTGAAGATTACCGAGGAGCAGCGGCTCAAGGCGGAGCTGGAGCACGGCGTGGAGGCTCTCAAGGGCCGCATCGGTGAGCAGCGGGTGCAAATGGGCGGCATCAACAACTCGGCGCAGCAGTACACAAAGGTGGGCAGACAGACGACGGGCCTGGGCTCTGTGGGCTTTGGCCTGCCTATGCACGCACGCCGAGCACGGTGCGCTGGTCCATAAACCTGCCGGCCTGTGTCGCAGGTCCAGCGACGCATCCGTGTGCTGGAGAACCGGCTGCAGCAGGCGAGCGTGCGGTACAACGAGGCGGCGGCGCGCAGCCGCGCGCTGCGCGCCCGCATCGACTCGCTGCGCCGCGAGCGCCTGCTGTTTGACGAGCTGGCGGGCAAGCTGCAGCGGGGCCTGGCGCGCCAGAAGGGAGAGATGGTGGAGGTGATTGCGCGGATCGCAGAGTCGCACGAGGCAAGGGAGAAGGTGAGGGGGCAGGGCAGGCGTGGCCCAAGTAGCGGGGGAATGCCGCAGGTGCAGCTGCAGGGCAGCGACCTGTGAGCGCGGCTGCTCAGCCCATTCCACTTGCGCCATGCGAATGCTTCCACAGCCCCTGCTCCTTCCCTACTGGCTAGTCACACACACTGGGCTGCCGGGGCCTGCCCCTGCAGGCGCTCATCCTGCAGGTACAGGTGAAGGCGCAGGCGGACAAGGACGTGGCAAACTACGAGGCCGAGTGGCGCCAGCTGACCGACATTGTGGAGCAGGACAGGCACAGCAGGGAGGCACAGCGCGCGCGCGACATCGCCGCCCGCGAGGACCAGATGGCTCAGCTGTTCAGGCAGGAATTTGCCCCAGCCAGCAAGCGGCGCTCAGCACTGGTGCGCAGCACCGCAGCCGGCGGCGGAGGCGACGCTGCTGGTGCGCAGGGCGAGCCAGCAGAGGGCAACGCTGCTGCAGCGGCGGCCACTGCTCCGGAGCGTGTCAAGCAGCTCAAGGCAGCGCTCAGCAAGGTGCTGGTTGCTACAGGTGAGGGCGCAACTTGGCGCGGTAGTGGGCGAGAGACAGGCGTTGCCAATGTTGGCAGTTGACGGCAACATGCACCTCATCAGCATGCTGACAGCCCTGCCCCAAAGCTGCACGTGCACCGCCTTCCCGCACCGTCCCTGCTGCCCACAGGCGTAGAGGATGCAGATGAGCTGCTGGCTGCGCTGGTGGAGGGCGAGGAGGCCAACTTCAGCCTCTTCAACTATGTGAACGACCTGAGCGCTGAGGTGGACAAGCTGAAGGACAGCATTGGCAGCCTCAGGTGGGTGGTGGCAGGGCGCCGCCACCTGCTCTCCGCAGATGGCCTGTTCTACGTGTGCTGCCAGCCTGGGCTGCCAACTATGCGGCTATGACGCAGCATGTCACACGGCCGGTGTTGTCTGCCCACCCTGTCTCCCACCGTGCCGGCCCCATCCCTGCAGGGTGGAGGTGGAGCGGCACCGGGCTGAGACGGTGGCAGCGGCCAACGACGACCGTAGCCAGGCGCTGCGTGCGCTGGGCGCGGAGCTGGTGGCGGTGGAGGAGGCGGCGGAGGGGTACGAGGGCAAGCACAGCCAGGCTGTGGCCACAGTCAACTCGCTCAGGGCGGCGGTGCTCGACATGTTCAACCGCTGCGGGTGGGTGGGGTGGCTGGGGAGCGGCCCACCCAGACCTGCTGCTGCCTGCCTGCAGCTGCCCTGGCATGCCTGACTGGGTGCCTGCGATGTCATTGCCTGCTGCTTATGTGGAGCACCAGATGCTGCTGAGCCCCGCTGAATGCATTACTCCACCTGCCGGCGCGTCGCACCACGGCCCTCTCATTCACCCTGACCTGCCGCAGGTGTGCCACGCCGGCGGTGCTGGAGCTATTGGGCGAGGGCGGGGAGGGGGTGACAGACAAGAACCTGATTCAGTACCTGGGGGTGCTGGAGCAGCGCACCAACGAGCTGCTGGCACAGTACTCGCTACTGGCAGCCGACGGCAGCGATGCCGCCGCCGGCGAGCGCGCGGCCGACGTGCTGACGGGCAAGCGCCAGGGGGAGGCGCCGCTGCAGTATGTGATCGAGCAGCCGTCCACTGGCAGCGGCGGCAGCGGGGTGGGGCCCGGCGGCGTGGCCTCGCTGACTGCGTCGCGGAGTGGCACGGGCGGCGGCACGGCGGCAGCAGCCGCAGGAGCCGCCGACGACGAGCGGCCGCTCAGCCGCGGCTCCCTGGCGGCCCGGGTGAGCAGGGCGGTGGCCCTCAAGACGGACACGGCTGTCAAAATCAAGGCAGTGAGGGCTGCTCGTCTGACTGGGCATGGCGGTGGGCGCTAGCTCCACTGGATCGTGAACCCACCCCGATCACTAGCGGTGGCATCAAACCACAGTAAATGTAACCACCCGGCCGTGAACGGCGAGCGAAGCGAGAACACGACTGAGGAGCGTGCGGGAGGCGGCATGTCGCTGTTGTATCGCTGCAAAGGCGGCATTTTCCAGAGTGCGGTTGCGGGAGTGCCAGCAGCGCGGAGCGGCAGCGCTTAAGCGCGCGGAGTCACTCACATGCAGGGCATGGACACACCCCTGCGCGGGAGAGCGCAGAACGGCTTGCGGCCGCTACTTGGCGCCCAGTCCGACCGCCAGGACCTGGAGGGGCCGATTCCCAAGGGTCGCGCTTCAAATGCCGCGCTTTCCAAAGCCCCATTCCCATGCTGATTCACCGCGTGCAGCAGCCAGACCTCATTCACACCGCCCCCATTGCCTTCCCATCCATCTCTGCTTTGTCACTTATCTCTCAATTGACCCCGCATCAGCGCCAGGCTTCGCCGAGCCAGGCCGAACAGATCTCCATCTCCACAGATTTGTGTGTTGAAGCGGCGAATGGCGGCCACATGCTCGCCTCTCTAGTCTGATATGCGTTGTGAGCGGCTGCTGACGGACAAAGACCCCGCCGGCCGGCTTCCCGAGTTTCTGCGGCTCTGGCAGCTTGTGGTGCTCCTCTACACGCTCCTGGCCACCCTTGCCCTGTGGACCCTTGTTCAGGCACCCGCAGGTGCGCAATGAGCGGTGCAGCGGGGCGCGGGGCAGCCCAGGGGTGGGCCTTCCCCCTTGCATGGCCCACATGGGGGGCAAGGTGCAATACAGCGAAAGGCGCTGGCGGGCGCTGGCGAGCCTCTCTGCGACCGGCAATCGGTCCCAGGCGATGATCGCCGCGTCCCGATGGCCTGGCCAAGCGCCCAGTGCACCACCGCACTACCGGCAGCTTTGTTCCCCGCCGCTGCCCGTTGCCGCCATTCGCTGAGGCCTGTGACTTCCCCCGTCCCCCTCCAACTGCAGGCATCCAGCATCTCCTGCTTCTCTGCCTCCTCCGCCTCGCCGTCCTCCTCTGCGTAGGCGCAGTCAGCTACCAGGCACAGCGCCGGCGGCGCGCCTCCGAGGCCCCGTCGCCGCCCTTTGGCACGACCACCGCAGGCGGCAGCAATCCGGCGACCCCTCGTGGCACCCTCGCGCAGGCAGCCCTCTACCTCCAGGTCGCTTGGCTGGCCTCTGAGCTACTCCTGGGCTCTGCTCTGTTAGTCTTCTATCCCCACATCCTAGGCAAGCCCCGCCCGCCGCTGCCGCCCGCACACCCTTGCCCGCCTCCGTTCCGCCTCTGCGCCGGCTGCATGCCCACCACCTCCAAAGCCTGCACCCTTGCTGCCCTCTGCGCTGCTGATGCGACCGTGCCTGCGCACTTGATAGCCTTCCACGCGAACATGCCGCCCTAGCAGCCAGCGCTGTCCTGCCCGCCACTCATTCCTGCGCCTCCCTCTGCTGCCGCCTCCCCCTCCTGCAGGGCCCTTGGCTGTGGAGGGTAACCCCGCCACTGCCACCGCAACCGGCACGCTGCTCACCCTACTCCCCCTCATCTGCGCGGTGGCCATGAGCGGCTGCTTCCTATTCCTCCAGCGCCTGACGGCGCGGCGGCGCCGCCAGCGCGCCGCCGTCCCCCACGGCCTCGAGTGCGGCCTGGCTGGCGGCTTTGGCACGCTGCAGGCGGCGGCGCCAGCCGGTACCTGCTGCTCCACCGCCTGCGGCGCGGCCTGCCCGCACCACTCGGGCGTGGACGTCATCTGCAGCCCCGTCTCCGAGTCTGGCTCCTACAGCAGCTGCACCTCCGCCAGCTCCTCCGCCGCCTTCTACTCCCGCAGCAGCAGCAGCAGCCTGGGCGGCTCCGCCTCGGGCGGCATGCCCTCCCCCACCGGACACGTGCGCTCCTCCGGCGAGTCGGCGGCGCAGCACCAGGCCGCCATCCACGCCGCCTGCCAGGTCCTGCTGGTGGAGCACCAGGTGGGCCTCTGGGTGGGGAGCAGGGGCCAGCCAGGGCGGGTGGTCAAACCTCCTGCTGGGCCACCCCCCAGCAGCCCAGCACCGCCCCTCCCCTGGCATCCTGCCTGCTACATCCTCCTCCTCCTCCTCACCCCTACTGGTCTGGCCCCTCGCCGTACACGCGTGTACCGCTCGTAACCAGGCTCGCGCCTCCCTCCTACCCACCCCCACCCCCCCACCCCACCGCAGGTGGAGAACGAGTACTTCCTGTTTGTTCACAAGAGGCTGCGCCCCATCAAGACCCGGCCCGAGGGTGGGTGAGAAACCGCTGCCCCCGCCCGCTGGCCCGCCCGGCCCGCCACCACCCGCATCTCTGTCTGTGCTTGCACTGGCCTGCCTGTGGTGGATGCCTCTGACGTCCAGCCGTGAACCAGCGTTTCCAGTCGGGTGCCGGCCTCTGGTCCCGCTCCATACTTACGCACCCTCCCCCCTTCCCTCCCTGGCCCGTTTCGCTGCCGCAGAATGCCATCCTTCGCAGCCTGCGGGCCTGCTGCGGGAGCTCATCACCAACTCCTTCACGTTCCAGCATGACCCGCAGCTGGCGGCGCAGCTGGCGGCAGGCATCCAGGCCGGTGCCGGGGGCGGCTCCACCAGGAGCCCCGCGTCAGCTGCCAGCCTCACCTTTCACGCAGCGTCCGCCGCGGGCGGCATGGCAGCAATGTAGGCCGAGCCCATGCTGCCCAATAGGATTAGGAGTAGGATTAGGACTAGCAGCAGCTAAGCCACCACAGCGGCGCGCCGCACTTGGCTGGGCCCATCTGTACAGCACACACTGCCGAAGCTGGCGGCGCGGGATCGGCGGCAGCCTCGCCTCGAACTGGGCCGCCGCCGCCTGCGCCGCCGCCTTCGCCAAGAGCAGCGCCTACTTTCATCCAAGATTCAAGTCCCGATCGGCCGCACTTTGCTGGTGCGGCGCCTGCCCGCCTCTCTGGCGCGCGGCCGCCGACCCTTCCAATTTTGAGTTTTGACTTTGAGCTGAGCGCTCCCCCACCCTCAGCACCGACCAGGCGGCTGCCGAGGAGAGCACAGGACACTCTGCACCATGCCCGCGTGCACCGCAGGCCCCCTCCAGGCCCGTAGGCTGCATGAGCCATGTGCACGTGCCGCCCCCTTCGCCCCCTCTTTTGAGCGCCCCTCGGCCCCTGCACTCCCCACCTATTCTTACCGATTCTTCTTCTTCTCCAGCCCTGCCGTGCCATGAGTCTGTGAACAGGAGGCGCCTATTGCCCCTCTACATCGTACAGTGTTGGTCCTACCGCATTTCAAACCCAATCTCTCCCCACGCATAAACGCAAAAACTAATTTGCAAACAGCACTTGTAAAGCATCTACCAAAGAAAGGGCAGCTGGCCAGGCCTGCTACCTGCTGTACATTGGGGTCTTGGCTGCCTGCTCCTGCCGTGGCATGCCGCTGACATCGCGCCAGTGCTGCCGTTTCCTGCTGACTACCTACGTTCTTGCCTGCCGCCCTATCTGCTGCTGCCTACTGCCTGCCGAAGGGGTCAAACTCTGCAAAGGCGTCATCCGCCGCCACCGCCTTGAGCCTGCCCGGGCTGCTGCCACCAGACGGGGTGCCCGCCGCTGCGCCAGCCAGGGGCGGCTTGGGGCTCACACCAGCCAGGTGGGTGCCCCAGGTTGCAGTGCTGCCGTAGGCAGGGGGCAGCGCCGGCTCGGCAAACAGGTGCGCCGGCAGCGCGGTCGGACTGCCGGAGGCTGGCCCCGCGGCGGCAGTCAGGTTGATGGCACGTGCGGGGCTGCCGCCGGGCTTTGTGAAGGCGGCAAAGCCGGCGTCGGGGCTGGCGGGTCCGCTGCTTGGGCCTGCAAGTCGCAGGTGCAGCAGCACAACAGTGGTGAAGCAAACAGCGGTGAGAAGGTCGGTTGATGCAGCGCGACAGCCCTTTGCACCGGCCACCTATCTGCGGCTGCAGCCTCACTCTGCTGGAAGGTGCCAAAGGCATCAAAGGGTGCAGGGTCCTGGCCGAGGGCGGCAGCGCCAGCCTTGGCACCAGGGCTGCCGTGTGCCGTCCAGGACAGGCCACCGCCTGCGCTGCGTGCCGCCGCAGGGCTGTGAGGTGCTGCCGCGGCAGCCGGCGCCTCCAGCAGGTCTGCCAGTGCGGCAGGGCTGGTGGGGCTGGCGGGGGCCGAGGTGCTGGCAGCAGCTGGGCTGTGCCCGCCGCTGGCGCCGCTGTGCTGGTGTGGCACTGCGGGCGGGCTGGCGGTGCCGCGGCCGGCTGGCGGCGGCGGAAGCGCCACCGCAGCTGGCACGGGCTTGGTGGTGGGCGGCGGGGCCAGCTTGATGCCCCCCAGGGCTTGCTTGATGGCGGGGCTGACGTGCACATCCTGCAGCTTCTTGGGCCCAGCCTTGCGGGCCGTCAGCTCAGCCAGCGACGGCTTGCTGGTCTGCAGGCAGCGTGTGTTGCGGGCAGGGCAGGGCGGTTTTTTTCTTGCGGGACGGTACTGGTCAGTGTGACGATGCCATGACCCCAGGCTGGTGGCTGCACGCTGGAGGCGGCGGGGCAAGCATCCCTCCAGAGCCTGCCCGCGCTGCCGGCCGCCGGGAGCCCAGCCGCCAGCAGGGCACCCGCCAGCGCCGCCCGACCTGCGAGCCGCCGGAGCGCGCCACCCTGAGGTCCTCGCAAGACTTGGAGCTGGGCATGGCGGCGCTGGGGGAGGCGCCGGCGGCGCCGCGCGCCGAGCAGGCAGAGCCTGCGGGGCTGGGCGGGTCGTCACGCAGCACCCCCGCCTGGCGCAGGCCGTCGATGCGCTGCGCGGTGGCGGCCACAGGGTCGGCGCCCACTGCGGCGTAGCCCTGCAGCATGGGGGGCAGGCAGGCGGAGGGCAGGGAGAGGGAGAGGCGTGCATTCATGCCAGCAGATCACGGGTGGTGATGGTGTGCGTGCGAGCGAGAGAGAAGGTGCGCGCTGGCACACCACGGCGGTGGCGCTGGCCGTCACTGCGGTGGCGCTACCAGCGCAAACCCGCTGGCCTCCGCACCAGTGCACCTGCCTGCTGCGCCACCCACCTTGGCAGGCGGCCTGGTCGAGGTTGTGGAGCTGCTGCGCCCGCCGCACGCCAGCTCCTCCCCCTCGTCCTCACCCTCCCCCACGTCCTGCGCCGGCAGCGCCACACGCCCCGCGGGGCGCGGCGACCCGACCAGGCCCAGCTGGCCGAAGCGCGCAGCGGCGCCCGCGTCGTCGTGCGCGCCCCTGGCGCTGCTGGCAGAGCCGGCCGAGGGGCTGGGCTGCGCTCCGCCGGCCCAGGAGGTGCCGGCGCCGGCGCCGGCGCCGGGCGGGGCGGCCGCCGCCATATCCTCGCGCGTGGCGCCCTTGAACTTGTCCTTGAGTGCCTTGGCCTTGGCCCGCTCCGCCCTGCGCGTTAGCGGCGGCGGCAGTCGACACAAGGCACGGGCAGCGGGGCGGCGAGGCGGCAGCAGGGGGCAGGCAGCCTGGAGCAGCGGCGCATGTGTTGCACCACAGTGGGGGGGCTTGGCAATGCAGGGAGCCTGACGGTTGGGGGGGCCGTCCGCGGCCACCTGCCGCCACCCACCTGATGCGGTCGGGGTCTGCCAGCAGCAGGCTCAGCTCCTTGGCGCGGTTGGACACCTGCGGAGGCGGGACAAGGCAGGGCCCGCGCGGCTGTCGCCTCACGCCTGCATCACTGCTTCCAGTGCCCGCCGCGCTGCCGTCCCCGCGCTGGAGTGGCGCAGGTGGTGGGCCATGTGTGCCATGCAGCACAAGAGCCCAGGCCAGCCCCGCGGGGCGTGTATGGTATCTGGGCGGGCGGGCGGCGGCGGGTGGCAGCACCCACGTTGATGCCATGGTCCTTGTTCATTTCGTCCAAGTACTTGAACTGCTTCAGGCCCTCTATCACCCCCGACGCATCCAGGATGGTCTGCACCACGTGCTGGCCGCTGTTCTTCAGCAGGTGCTCGGTCAACAGAAGGGCCTGCGGAACGGCGCCGCGCGGTGGGTGGGTGGTTGGGTGGTGAGGGGGGCGTGCAGGTGCGCGGGGAACAAGGGAGGCCATAGTGAGCTTGCTGCTGCGTGAGACGAAGCAGGACATTGCTCCGTCAAGCATCAGGGGAAGGGGTTGCCGGGGGGCGCGGCAGCCAGGCTCGCATCGCGGGCCAGAGGCGCCGCGGCGCGCGCATTCACACCTTGTAGACGCGCCGCCACTGCGGCGGCTCGCACTCAAAGCGCTGCAGGATGACGCCCCAGGCCTGGCGGAACTTCTCCGCGTCGTAGCTGGCCTCGGCAATCTCTGCGCGGCAGCAGGGGTGAGGAGCTGAGCGGGCGCCGCTGCCGCCGTGCCACCGCCGCCCGCTGCCGTGCGGCCGGTGGTTGCGACGACCGCCGCCCTGCAACCCGTGTCGTCTCCCAATGCGCAACGCTCACTGGCCTGCCAAGCCAACAGACCCCTGGCTTCCATAGGCCTTGGGCACGCCGCAAAACTTGCCTGCCATCGCGGCGCCCGTCGGGCCCCAGGGCACCTCGCTTGTGGCGCCCAGCACACTCAGCTCGAGTTTGGTCTTGTTGCGGAGCAGAGCCTCGCCAGCCTTCCACGCGCTCTTGAGCAGCGCCTTGACCTTCTCCTTGCTCCGTGTTTGTGTCATTGAAACTAGTCCGCAGATCAACAGAGAAATAAAAGGGGGGAAGAGACTCTACACTGCGCAGGCGGCGGCGCCATGCTTCGCGCGGTGGCGCGCTGGAGGCGCAAGACGCGGCCATGGGGTGCCTGGGTGCCAGCCTCCAGGCGGTACGCTGTGTGAGTAGCCATTGTCACTCACACATATGGACAAGTATTGTGATTATGGCATGGCGGTGCGGGGGAAACTGAAAGAGTGAGGCGTCGGCGTTGGCGCTGGTCAACACAAGGTGCGGTTGAAGAGGTTTGCAGCGGGCACCCCGTTTGCAAGCATGGATCCATGTTTGCTGGTTTCATGACATGTGATCTATGGTTCACATTTTCACTTGCTTGAAGCTCAGTCTCATCTTTTCAACCGTCCCGCCTCCAGCGGGCGCCAGCCTGTCGCGAGGCATGGCCAGGTGCCTTCGCAGACGCTCCCCCGATCCCCGACAGCCAAAAAAGCCTTGATTTGAATCCAGAACAAACAAACTTGTCCTGAGGGCCATGGGGGGGTGCTGTGCTTCTGCTCCCGTAAGCGCTGCGCAGCGAATCGACGATGAATCATACCCAGAGTGAGCCTACACACGCATGAGCCTCATTCGGAACCATGCCGACACCGGGCGGTCAAGAGGGCGCCGAAGGCGCAGCCCTCCCACCCGAAGGCGCCGCCCTCCCGAAACGCCGCCCTGCAACACTGCTGCAGCAACGGAAAAAAACTGCGGAGAGATGCCCTGAAAGATGTGTACCAGTTAGGCGGAACCATCGGCACTGGAGGTGCACCGGTCCTCCTGGGCCAGCACTCGCACCTGGGCACGTCCTCACCGTTGGTGTCCCTCACTCTTATCTGCTGCCACTGCAGGCTTCTCAGTGGTCAAGCTGGCCACAGATAGAGCCACCGGGGAGCAGTGGGCCTGCAAGATCATGTCGCTGCCTCGGCCGGGGCGGCAGCCGGCGCGGCGGAGGTCCATCATGCGAGAGGTAGACGTGCTGGTCAGGCTGGGCCTGGGGCATCCCAACGTGTTGGCCCTGCGAGAGTACTTTGTTGAAAACAACAGGGTGTACCTGATCATGGAGCTGCTGCGAGGTGAGCAGGGCAGGGAGTGCAGCGCAGCAGCGTCAGTGCCGGGGCAGGGCGAGCTTGCGCTGCTGCTGCTGCTACTGCAGGCGGCGAGCTGCTGGATGCGGTGAACTCGCACGGAAACTACAGTGAGGCAGATGCGCAGACCATTTTCTCCCAGCTCATGCGCGGCGTTCAATACCTGCACTCTGTGTGAGTGCGCCGGTCGCATGAAGCCCGCACCTGGCTTGCCAGCGCTTGCATTGGCAGTCTGCGCTGCCCCCTTGTGCTGATTGCTGCTGTGTTGCGGTGTTTGGCGGTGCAGGGGCGTGGTGCACCGCGACTTGAAGCTGGACAACCTGCTGCTGGCAAAGAAGGGCGACATCAGCACCGTCAAGATTGCAGACTTTGGGTAGGGGTCCCAGCTGCTTGCTGTGCATTTTCGGCAAGGCATGTGCCCGCTGCAATTCCTTGGGCTGCCACTCAATTCAACTCGCCCATTGCCATCTGCTGCGCTGCTTGCGCAGGGTCGCAAGGAAGCTACATCCCATGTATGGCCTCAGGCAGATGAGGACTGTGGTTGGCACGCCACGTACGTGCCCCTTCTCTTTCTTGTCTGCTGCTTCAGTCGCAGTGGTTGTATCGCAGCAACAATGGCCCTGCTAACAAAGCAGATGGGCTGTGAGCCTGTTTGCCACACCTTTCTGCAGAATACATGGCGCCAGAGGTGGTCTGTGCCAGCAAGCACATCATCGCCACCGCCGCCGGCACCGCATACGGCCCAGCCTGCGACCTGTGGAGCTGCGGCGTCATCCTGTTCATGCTGCTGGGCGGCTACCCGCCCTTCTGGCACGAGAGCCAGCCACTGCTGCTCCGGTCAATTTCACGTGGCAAGTTTGAATTTGACGATCCCGTGTGGCAGGAGGTCAGCAGAGAGGCCAAGGACCTCGTCTCCAAGCTGCTGGTGGTGGACCCAGACAAGCGGCTGACCCCTAAGCAGGTGCGCATCGCTCTTTGGACATGCTAGGCAGCGGTGGGCATGAGAGGCTGTTGCTGTTGCCGATGCCTTCCTTGATGCTGCTGCTGGTGCAGGTTCTGGCACACCCTTGGATGGTGGGATGCAGCCGGCAGGCGCGGCGGCTGCCACAGACGAGCGAGCGTATGCGAACGGGCATCCTCAACAGGCTACGCAAGCGCCCGAGCGAGGAGGGCCCACGGCTGCACGATGTGATCGCAGACGCATCGGCAGCGGCGGCGGCAGCGGCGCTGCAGCAGCCTGTGGTTGAGTGGCCGGCCTGAACCAGTTGGAGGCGTTTGGCTTGATGCCCAGCCTTTGGCGAGTCGCCACGGTTTTATTGCGAGGCAGCATGCTGCTATAGAACAGCCAGCCTGACTGGAGGGAGCGCCACCGGGCATGCGCCGCCGCAACCGCACCCGCTGGCCATCGCCGCTGTTGACAGTCGCCCGCTGGGTGCAGCCTGAGAAACTGCATTCCGGGCTGGCAGTCTGCTGGCAGTCTGCTGTCGGACGCCGTTAGAAGGGTTGGTCTTTAGTTGGTCTGTGGTGCAGAGGCACATGCATGCCGCGGGGGGAGGCCTGCCGAGAAGAGGCCTTTCTGTCTGACTTTCGGTAGCAGCAACTCCTGAGCGCAAGGCAGTCAAAGTCCAGCACCCGCTAGATTGTCCTGTCATGATTCCGCTGTTGCGTCACGATTTGTGGCGGTCGAAAACGGCCCTCATCCAAAAACCCGCCCATTTCTTCTAATTTTTGCTTGAACACAAGCCGCGCATCCCACCCAGCTAGCCACACGGCTTGTAGGTTGTTGCACCGGAAGCATGGGTGCCTGCATTTCCGCGCCCGTGGGGTCGGCGCCAGCGGCCAAGGAAATCTTCGACCAAGGCCCCTTCCCTGAGTGAGCACGGGGCCCCTGCCAGCCGCAATCGCACGCGGAGTGTGCTGGCGCCCGCCCCCGGCAGGTCCCGACTCTGCACCCGCCGCCGGCGTCACTTGCTGTGCAGGGAGGGCAAGAAGCTACGCAAAGGCGCCAGGCTGAGGGATGTCTACCGTGTTGGAGGAACTATTGGCGCTGGAGGTGAGGCTTGGGAGGATGCGCCGTTGCCGTGGCTTCTGATCTGGCCGCTCGCCCCGTCGCCAGCTGGCCTCGCCGACACTCGCGCCACGGCGCCCCTGCCGCTGCTGCAGGCTTCTCCAAGGTGAAGATCATCACAGACCGGGAAACCAAGCAGCAGTGGGCCTGCAAGATCATGTCGCTTCCGCCAGCAGACAGCGAGTCAAAAGAGGACCAGGAAAACCGCACGGACACGCTGCGGGAGATTGACGCCGTGCTGGATTTGGAGCATCCCAACGTGGTGGGAATGAAGGAATACTTCGTTGAAAACAACAGGGTGTACCTGATCATGGAGCTGCTGCGAGGTGAGCAGGGCAGGGAGTGCGGCGCAGCAACGTCAGCGCCGGGGCTGGGCGAGCTTGCGACGCTGCTGCTGCTGCTGCTACTGCAGGCGGCGAGCTGCTGGACGCGGTGAACACGCACGGAAACTACAGTGAGGCAGATGCGCGGGCCATCTTCTGCCAGCTCATGCGCGGCGTTCAATACCTGCACTCTGTGTGAGTGCCCCTTCACGAGGTCGCATGAAGCCCGCATGTGGCTTGCCAGCGCTTGCATTGGCAGTCTGCGCTGCCCCCTTGTGCTGATTGCTGCTGCTTTGCGGTGTCCGGCGGTGCAGGGGCGTGGTGCACCGCGACCTGAAGCTGGACAACCTGCTGCTGGCAAAGAAGGGCGACATCAGCACCGTCAAGATTGCAGACTTTGGGTGAGCTTTGCCTTCTGGCTGGCTGCTCCCTCTGACTGCTGATCGCAGGGTAGTTGGTAGCTTGCGCGGCCAGGGCAGAGCAGGTCCTGCTGCTTGCGTGGCAGTCTGTTGTGGCAACCTCGTGAACTGCTGGGCCCACTGCAGCAGCAAGCTGCTCCGCCCGGTATGTGCAGGATTGCAATGAAGCAGCACACGCCCAACGCGCTCCACCAGATGCGGACTGTGTGTGGCACATCACGTGGGTAGCCTGCGGGAGCTGTCTTGTTTGCAGTCGAATCTGCAATGCAGATGCACAGCGCGAGTTTGCCTGCAGCGCCCGTCTGTCACAGCATGGCTCCCGTGGTTTATACCTACCCCAGCCCCTCCACCGCTGCCCCTCTCCCTCCGCGCGCTGTTGCCTGCAGAGTACATTGCGCCCGAGGTCATCCGCGCCGGCAAGAAGCGGAGCTCTCCCAAGGCCGTGCCGTCACTTAATGTGTACGGCCCCGCCTGTGACCTGTGGAGCTGCGGCGTCATCCTGTTCATGCTGCTGGGCGGCTACCCGCCTTTCTGGAATGAGCGCCAGCCGCTCTTGCTGAGCGCCATCATACGTGGCACCTTCTCGTTCTCAGACAAGGTGTGGAAGACTGTCAGCCGGGAGGCAAAGGACCTCATCTCCAAGCTGCTCGTGGTGGACCCCGCCAAGCGGCTGACCCCTGAGCAGGTGCGTGCAGCCGCCAGACTGCGCTGATGGCAGCACTGGGCCTCATCAAGTGCATGGCTTGCACGGATGTACAGTAGGCATTTTTGAGCAGCAAGAGGACCTGGAGCGTCGGCGTTCGGCTGCCATTTGCTGATGCCTGCTTTACCTGCTCCAGGTGCTGGCTCACCCCTGGATGGCAGCCTGCAAGAAGGAGCGGCCGCTGTCGCAGACCCAGGAGCGCATGAAGAGCGGCGTGGGCCTGTCCAAGCGCAAGACCCAGCCGGGCAGCCCCCGGCTGCACGACATCATTGCAGACATCTCAGTCAAGGCTGCGCAGGCGTGGTTTATGGAGAGCAACACCTCACTTGATCAGCTTCCCGTGGCACCCTCTGAATGAGTGGTACTTGCATTACAGCATCTCGGCTTCATCTCGGCGTCCTTTGAGCGCGGCATCCCTTTTGCAATACTTTGAACTCAAACTCAAACCCAATCCCCTTGGCATATGCTTTGAGTGGCACTATTTCTTCCCCCCCATTGAGAGCACAGGAACCGTTGTTGATTTTTTCTTCATTCAAGCCTCCATTCAAGTCTCCGTATTTCATTTCATGCTCACTCACTCCGCTTTGCCCAGTTGGGGGCTTGTTCATTTGCATCCTCAGGAGCGACCCAGGTAGGCCTCCCGGTAAGGATGTGCCCCATGATGGGCATGATGGCCCCCCACCTGGAGGGTCATTGGGGACATCATCCTCAATCATGCATCATTCTCCCTCCCGTTTGTTCTGTTGGCATCCCAGCAACCGTAATATGCTTTCTAGGACATGAGCCACCACTTTAGGGTGAAGGTGGTTAGCAAGACCACGGCCCCCAGGCCTCTAGACGGGCCACAGCCAAAAAGATCCCGTGCAAGTAGACCAGGACAACAAGCTCCCTTCAATGTGCCAGGGCAGGCCAGGCGGCGGGGTGAGAGGGATGACAACGAGGATGAGCGAGCACCCAGCGGCTTCTTAGGCTGGGGCGACCGGCAAGGACGCAAACGTGATCACTGGGAGGCTCGGCTCGGAGCGGACGTGGATGCCTTCTTGGCCTCTCTGCCGGGCCGGGCGGCGCAGCAGCGGCAGGAGCGCCAGCAGCAGCTCCAGCAGCGGCAAGCCCAGCTGGCCAGCATGGAGCCGCTTCCTTGCCACTTAGCAGCAGAAAATGGCAGCTGCTGTGAGTTGCACAAGACGGGCAGCCAGGCAGCTGTGTTTTATGGGCCGCTCGGCGTGGTGGGCAGGCTCACGTTGCCGGTATGGGAGTGCAAGACGCATGGGCGCCCCAATATCACCGTGCACCCTCTCCAGATCAGCTGTGTGCCGACTGCGCCAGTCAATAACACCAAGCTGCTTGATGTG